AGAGGCGGGGAAATGAATATTAATTTATCATGATTAGGCAAATCCGGCAGGGAGAGCCGATTCCGGAGGAGGCTAAAAAGATGAATTTCAGCAATAAAATTAAATAAGGACGGACGGGCGGCCCCTCCTCCCTCCTGCTTTGCTGATCTCTCTCTTTCTTACAATTTATGAGGCCAATTATGAAGATGAGGTTGGAAGTTCCTGGAACTTCACTAAATGCAAACGGCGGTCCCTGCTGTTCCCATCAAATTAATTAACCGCGCGCTATTGATGGCCGCTCAAGGCTGACGCAGGCAGCCCGCCCTGCGGCCGCCTCCACGGACCACAAGGATCCAGAGTCCAGAGCCCGGCTGGGGCTCCGCCACCTTCTGTAGTCCCTGCCAGCACCACAGGGGACTCCAGGACCCCCCTTCCAACCCCAGGTCCCGCCCAAGCCCTTGATAACATAGGGGCATGGACACAGAGGTCAGACAGACGGACACACTGACACACACCCGGGATGCCCACACCTAGGCAGACACAAAATCATGAACACACAGCACGCAAACACAGGGCCCGGGAATGCACATGAGGCACACAGGCAAATGAACAGAGTCAAACAGACACAGGCATGGCGACAGGCGAGCCGAGGGAACCGGAGCTCCGTGGGTGAGGGCGGTAGGGCTGAGGGCGTCTCGCTGTGGGAGGCACACTATGTCTGGGGCCATGAGCCCGCTCCCTCAGGGCCAGGCCCAAGTCCAGCAGAGCTAGGGACTAAGCGGAGGTTCCACTCAAGCAGCAGCGAGCAGTGGCCCCTTGCCTGGAGCGTGTACTGTCCTCCTGTGACATCCTCAGAGCCCTCCCCACAGGCCTCAACCCCTGGGTCCTCTCCCCACAGGCCTCAACCCCTGGGTCCTCTCCTTATCTCAGGGGCCTTCTTCAGGAATGTTCCTCTAGGTCTTTCACTGGGGCTCAGCTTCTACACTGACCTCTATTGTAGGGGACCAGGGCTTGCAGAGCCCCTGGTTCAGACAATGGAGATGAGGTCTGGCCCAGAGTCTCAGGCCAGCTTTAGGGCTTCAGCCCTGAGACCCACCCAGTTCCAGAGCTCAGGGGTTCTGGAAAACTAGCTGGCTGGTGCCCAGACTGAAGGGCAGAGTGGACACAGGGTAAAGGTCTTGGGGCTGAGCCCATCCTAGGCCCAGGGCAGCTCCCGGTGTCTGCAGAGCCCGGGTAGCAGCAGGTACCCCAACAGCTGTAGCTTCCACGTGAAGTCAATCTCTGAGATGGTGGGGAGGGCCTGGAAAGGGAGGGGAGTGAAGAGAGGGAGAGAGGCCAATGTCTTCTCTAAGTTGTAGGCCGTAGTCCTGGCAAAAGGCAGCCCATTCCACTTAAAGGGACAGGAATTCCAGAATTCTGGAGAAGCAGGACAAAGGGCCTGGGTTTTCTATTCTGAGCCCTTGGATCTTGGAGGGCAGGACTGGGCTGGGCTTGCCCACCTTGTCATGCCCATTCCAGGCCTGGGAGGCCCCTGACCCTGTGCCCCCAGCTGCTCCCCCCTGAGCAGCCAGATCCCAGGAGAAAAGTTTGGCCTTATCTTGCTCCCCGTTCAGTGCAGGTCTAGGGCCAAGGCCAATGTCATCAGCCCAGGCCCTGGGAGATGAGGTTCCTGGCTTGGCATGGCTGGGGTAAGCAGCCCAGAGAGCACTGTATCTTGGGCACAAAGTGTCAGAGGGAAACTGACATTAAGGGAGGCTCAGACTGAGCATGTGGCAGCCAGTCGGAGAGGGCTGGGGGCCAGGGCTTTGCCTAGCACCTGACCCTCCCCTTCCCACACCCCACTGCACTTCAGGGGACCTCTTCCACCTCACAGCAGGGCCTGCTCACACCCACGGTCCCTCTGCTCACTTTGTACAGAGAGAGATCAAGACATACCCCGTCTATTGGTTCTCTATTGTTGCAGGAATAAATTACCACACACTTAGTGGCTTAAAACAACACAAAGTTATTACTGCACAGTTCTATTGTTTCAAAGTCTGACACAGGTCTCACTGGAATAAAACTGAGGTGTTGGCAGGGCTGGGTTCTGTTATGGAGGCTCTAGAGTAGAATCTGTTTCCTTGCCTTTTCCAGCTTCTAGAGGATGCCCACATTCCTTGGCTGGTGGGCCCCTCTCTATCTTAAAGCCAGAAACATGGCATCTCTCTGACCTTCCTTCCATCTTTCACATCTCTCTCTCGGATTGTAACAGGGAAAGGTTCTCCACTTTTAAAGACTCATGATTAAATTCGCCACGCTGGAGAATCCAGGAAAATCTCATCTCAAAATCCTTAATCACATCTGCAAAGTCCTTTTGCCAAGTAAGGAAACATATTCACAGGTTCTAGGAATTAGGATGTGGACATCTCTAGGAGAGCATTATTCTGCCTACCACACGTGGCTGGCCAGGGACAACTCTGGCTCAGGGACAGAGTGACGACAGCTGAGCTAAAGGCAGGAAGCAGGCTGTGGGGCTCCTCTCCTCCTCCTCAGGACCAGGTGGTGATTGGGTGGTGGTCTGGGGTGCTCAGTTGCCAGACAGGACGCCAGTTCCCACTAGCGCTCCAAAATTCAGTCTCCTTTTCCAGCAGGTTGGGGCACTGGGCTGAGAGCCTGCCCAAGAACCAGGGTCAGGCTCTGAAGTGGCTGGGGAGCCCCTAGGCACACTCTTTGCTTACCACCCCTCCCCCAAACTGCGCAGCCTTTCTCAAGGCACAGAAGTCCCTTGATCAGTTCTTCTCCTGGACTTCTTTGTCAGATTGAGCAGCCAAGAAGATCAGAGCGCCAGGAGGGGTCTCTCTGGAGGGTGTGGCACTCTTCCTTTTTATCCACGACTTCCCGCTGCCCTTGTCAGGAGGTAAGACCAGGGTTTGTATGTTTGAAGGCGGACTCCGGATTTCTGAGTCTTCTGGGGGCAGGGGTTAAGGCAGATGCAGCGGGTGTGTGTGTGTCAGCAATGGGGGCCAGGCTCCTGGTTTCAGACAAAGAAGTCAGCACTATCCCTCCCTGTAGTCTGGGAACTCCCTGTGTGCAGGAAGGGGTTAATTGGCCAAGTTACCGGGGGACCTACGGATTCCCTCTTCTCCAAGCCCTGGAGGCCCCATTCCTCTGGGGCTGGAAAGGTTGCTGAGCAGGCTAGAGCGCTGAAGTGGAAAGCAAAAGGAGAGAAGCAACGTCTACATTTGGACCCAGACGCCCCAGGCTTTGGGCTTCTGCCAGCTCTGACCCTCGCTGGTGATGGTGGCAGGCACTGAGGGCCCAGTCCACAACAGAAGGAGCAGTAGGCGGGGCCAAAAGCAGCCCTAGCACCTGGAGGGCACAGGGATTTCACAGCTCCTCTCAGCCACTCCAGGCCTTGCACAGCCATGCCTCCCTGGGAGTAGAAGCTCTGAGGGAGAGGTTCCCCCCTCACAGCAGCTTCTGGGCCTTTGAGATGTGGCTGTCACTGTTGGTACTGAGCAGTGAAAGGGGCCCCCAGACTCCATGGCTTTTGACTCCTTCTCTGTATGAGCCATGCCAGCAAGGCCCCATGGCTTGGACTTCAGGGTTCTGAACTACAGTTGGGGGGCCCACTCTAAGGCTTCTGGGATCCCCCGACTGAGAACAGGCCAACAAAAGCCAGCTCTGGGAATCTGCAAGGTACTGACAGAGATGCAGTACTTGGCACTCGCCTCCCACCCTGCCTCACAGCTGGCACACTCAGGTTTGAGCCCATCTCTGCGGCCTGAGCTCCCCTCAAAATTCCCCACATCACGGAGCCTCCCCAGGCTCCTTGCTTCTCCTCCAACACAGCCTCCTTCACCTGCCTGTGCCCGTTATTCTCCATACTTGGTATGCCCAAACTTTCTTCCATATTCCTCTCCTCCCCTCACCAAATTCTCCCTGTCCTACAAGGTCCAGCCTCCAAAAACCACCCTGATCCCACGAGCTGGACTTGCTGCTCTCCGCTCTATCAAACTAAGCCCCTCAGCTGGACTTTACGTCCTCTAGCAGCCTGGCCTTCCCCTGACTCCCGGCATACAGCATCCTCTCTAAAGTGCATTCCTCAGCTGTTCCCAAACAGAGCCTGCTCACCCACCTCAAATAGGCTATTTCCCTGCCAGCCTGGCCCCTCTTCCTCCAGGCAGCCTTCCCCGACTGCCTCAGCCCTGTCAGTAGCACAGAGGTCACCATTTAGTTGTTCCTAATGAGCCTTGTCACCTTTGTTCATGTCCCCAGATAGCCTATGCTACAGCAGGGCCCACAGGAGATGGGCAGATACAAGTACCTAATGCCTGACTCCATGAATTCTCTCTTTTAACGTTCACTCTGCCCCCTTCTGAGTTCAGGAGCTGCCTCAGACCAGGCATGTTTGGAGAGCAGTTAACTTGCCTTTCTTGGCTCTCATTCAGCTCCCATCTCTGTCTCTGCCCAGGGGTCAGAAGACAGGCAGAGGCTGCAGGAGCTAAGACACCAGGCAGGTTGAATGTCAAAGGCACTTTACTGGGCCCCTGAGCCTTCAAATGCTGTCCTCACCAAGCCTGGGGTGCCCCCACCCCACACCTCCAGCTGCACAGGAAGCGGGGTGGGAGGAGGGAGCACACGTGGAGTGGTTTGTTCTCCTGCTCCAAAGGGTCTTGGGTGATGCTGGGCCACAGCTGCTTGCTTCTCCCTCTGCAGCCCCCATCCCACCCCCAGCAGCTAGACCCTCCTTAGGGTAGGGAAGGGTGAATGCCTGGGCCTTCAGCACAGGAAGCTGGCTTCAGACCAGTTCCTGCTTAGAATGGGGCAAGGGGCCGTGTGCAAAACTCTACCAGGGGTAGTGGTGAGGTAGAAGGGACAGCAGCCTGCTCCTGCTGGGGAGAGGGCTGAGCACACCCTGGGAGCCAGGCTGGCCCTTTCCCTCAGGCCCAAGGAGCTGGTGGTTGAAGCAGTGAGGTTCGGCCAGCTGAGGACAGAAAGGAGTAGCGGATGGCCGGGGGAGTAGCTGGTCCAGCTTGCCGCCCCCTCCCCTGCAGCCATGGGTCACCAGTCCCGCTCAGCTGGTTCTCGGTAGGGTAGGCCTAAGAGCCTGAAGACATCCTTCTCAGTGGGGGTGGGCAGCACTTGGCCAGACCCCACCTTGAGGCCTTGGGCGTTCCGGACCACAGCTGTGCTGAGGGCATGCTCTGACAAGCTCATGCCCTTGGTCTTGGCCAGAGCCCGCATGGAGCGGTTGAAGTGGGCAGAGCCGGTGAAGTAGAGCAGGGCGCAGGCAAACTCGCTGTAGGGCACAACGATGATGTCCAGTCGTCGGTGCCGCCGCTCTGGCCCTGGGAGCTGGCATACACCCAGGTACTTCTGCTGCTGGCCGTTCTCCTGGCTCACCAAGTCATCAGTCAGGAACCCTGGCCCAACACAGGAGGGCTGCTGGGAGGGCAGGGAGCCAGGCCCTGGGCCGTCCTGTCATCCCAGATCTTTCCTGATCATCCCTGGGTCCTCTATTCCCAGCTCGCCCACTTATTTGCTGGGTGACCTTGCCCTTTTCTGGGCCTGTCTCCTTATTTGTAAAACATGCATAGTAATTCCTCCCCCTGCCCCCTAGTGTCACAGAAAGATTAGACGAGACATTCAACCTGCAGGTATTCTTGAGCACCTCTGTGCAGGTGTGGGGAGCTGTTTCATCTCTTCTCTGAAATGGCTCTGGCCACAGGGGAGAGCTGGGATTCTCACGGAGCAGCCTTCCCCTGCCTCCTGCCTAAAGACTGCAACTTTGAGGCTCTCCCACCTGGAGGCCGCCCAGCCCTGCCCTGCCACCTGCCAAGCTGCTCACCCAGGGATGGAGCTTATACCTCGCTGCCGAAGGCTGTCAAGGAGGCGACTGAGGATGCCCTGGTGAGACCGGCCATCCGGGTGAGTGAGCAGCACGTCCACATCACCACAGGTTGCCTTCCCCCGTCGGTACGAACCACATGCCACACACAGCAGCCCAGGGTTGAAGGCCTGAGCTGATTCCTGGACCTGGAAAAGAGCAGCGAGGGGTGAGGAGGAGAGAGGCTATGGGCCTCCAGCCCTGCAAGGAGTTCCTCTCTCATGGCAGCATGAGGGCTTTCCCTGACCCAGGAGCCCACATGCCCAGCTTATGCTCCAAGCCAATCCCTGGATGTGTGATACCAGCCTGAGAGAATGAGCCCCAAGGAACAGAGGCCAGAGATCTACCCTGGGGAGCAGCTGTTCTCTAGCTTCACTAGGACAGAGAAGAAAATGCACTCACACCACCGGAGGCAGCCTGACGAGAGATAGAAAGTACGTACTCTGATTCTGAGAGAAGGCACTGATCTTTCCCTCTGGAGCTCTTTAAGAGCAGAGACACACCTTCTCTTGGCCCCTGCCCCAATCCAGATGCCCAGGCCTGTGAAACTCCACTTAGGACACAGGGCCAGGTGCCTGGAAGCCCTCAGCCAGGTCTTGCCAGCCCCAGGTATCTATGGATTTAGAGCTAATGGCCGTGTGTGAGTTGGGGCTTGAGGACTGAGCAGCTGGCTGGCAGGGTGCCCTGGGCCTGGGTCTGAGGGAAAATGGAGCCGCGAAATATAACTGCACCTGTAGGAAAGGAAAGGAAAGAAAGCAAAGAGGGAGGCAATTGTGAGCCAATGCCCATGTCCTTACTTAGAGGAAGGGGGCTCGGTGGGGAGGGGGCTGAGCCAGAGGGGACTGTCAGCTGAAGGATCATCCCTCATTGAGGGGGATAAGCCCATTAGCCTCCACCCCAGAGACACTGAGGCCTTTCATATGCAGATGGCTCCCGACTCCACCCCAGGACACTGAGATTTCTGGGGCCTGGATACCCACAGCCAGGACACCTCAATTCTCCTGACAGGCTGGCTCTGCTAATCCCCTCACTCCCTTATTGAGCCTCCCAAGAGGATGGAAAGAGGCCTAGGATGAGTAATCCCATCAAAAACTCCTAAGGCTGGAGCCCTTAAGGCTGGAACCAGGCCAGGTGGGAAGCCACTTCTGTTCCAATGGGCTGGGGGGCTGGAGGCTCACTGGGGCATTCTCCGTGCCCAGGTACCGTGGCTGAGTGACGGTGTCATCATCAGCACCAAGGCCTGGTGTCGGATGGACAAAGGGGCCTGTCCATCCTGCACCAGCCTGACAGTCCCATGGCCTGGAGTAGAGCTGGAGGCTGATTTCAACTAAGCTGGGCCAAAGACTCCATGGAATCCTCGCTCTCAGAATCCTAGACCAAAGGGAGAAAACTTTGCCCATAGCAACCAGCCCCTAATCCTAGTGGGATTTGAACAAATGATACAACTAACCCTAACTCTAAACCAAACCCTAATCTTGGCCAAACCTTATTTCTAGGATAACCACAAATCTTAATTTAGAGCATCCAACACTAAGAAAACCCTACTCCTAATTGAAGCCTAACCATAACTCAACTCTTGATCTAGCTTTCCTCTAACCCCAAACCTAATCATACTGGCACTGTGCTTCTACACCTACTCTAACCCAGACCCTGAACCAGCCTCAGGTGGGTTTCAGAAGGCCCCTTCATCTGGGAAGAGATATAAAACTTTGTACATTTATACAAATTTTGGAGAGAAAGCGTCCATAGTTTTCATCAGGTTCTCAAAGAACCTCTGCTCTGAGCCCCCTAACCTAGCCCAGTTCAAACCCCCATATCCTCAAGTAGTTCTGACCATAATTCCTCTCTAATCTAGCCCTAACATTAACCCAATCCTAACGCCATTCTAGCATCTAAGCCAATGCTCACTCTGCCTGACTACTGAGAACCCTTATGCAGAGAGCTGGTATTGCAGCCCTTCCCCACAAAAGCCACCCACCCCTCCTCTGGGCCTGCAGCTTCAGTTTCAACTTGCTCCTTCCCCTAGTCCCAACCTCTGGTGACCCACTGCTTCTTCTGCCTGCTGGGTTCCCCAGCCGAGGGATCAGGAGTTCATGGCTTTGAGCCAGGCCCTGCCCTTATAGCAGGGCCTGGCTCTCCTCACTGCTCTGGGACACGTGCTTACTGTCTGCTCAATCTCTGTAGCCTCCTCCCTGGGGATGCGTTCCAGGAAGTCATGGTAATGCTTCAGGCCAATGGCCTGCTGGGGAGTCAGGGAGGCCTGGTTGCGGATGTCTTCCAGGCTCCGGAAACCCTAGAAAAAAGAAGCCAGATAGAGAAGCTATGAGGATCCAGGACCAATGAAGAGGCAGTGAATGAGCACACACACACACAAAGGCTTCCAGCACCCCCATGGAAGGCCTGAGGCAGGACCAACCCCAGGAGCGGCTGGGTCTGTAATCAGTAGGACTTGGAAAAGGCAGGGGTCATGGAAGACACATCCCAATCCTAAAACACAGGTTCCTGATTCCATCAGTCTGGGGGTGATTGTGGGCACGGACAGTTTGGAAACCACTGATCAGGATACTCAGCTCCGAGGCTTGGTCTCCTCAGGAAGGCCTTTGCTGATCTGAGAGACAGAGAAACATACTTCTTGTCTCTGCCTACACTACAGATTAATGCCTCAAGGATACCAAGTGCTAGGAGCCAGGAGAGGGGTCTAGGTAAGCCCCAGTCCCCTTGAAAAGTGGTCTCCCTATAATCTGGGTTCATTCTCATCAGAGCACGGGGTAAAAGAACTGTGGGACAGGGCCGGGCCCGTGGCTTAGTGGTTAGGTGCGCACGCTCCGCTGCTGGTGGCCCGGGTTCGGATCCCGGGCATGCACGGACGCACCACTTCTCCAGCCACGCTGAGGCCACGTCCCACGTACAGCAACTAGAAGGATGTGCAGCTATGACATACAACTATCAACTGGGGCTTTGGGGGGGAAAAAAAAAAGAACTGTGGGACAGGAGCTCTGCGATACAGCAAAACTGAAGTAGGGGCTGTGAAAGGGTGTGACCTGGTGGTACCACATCTGGGCAGTCTTGGTTCCAGCTCCCCAGATGTTGGAGAAGAGCTCCAAGACAGGCACGCTTTCACTGATATGGTCCAGCTTCCGCAGATGCCCACTCTCCAAGATCTCTATGATCTTCTCAGCCATCCGCTTTCCAATCCCGCGAATACTGCAGGCCTCCTAGAGGAGGAGGAGGAGGCAGAGGCAGGAAAGAAGAGTGAAAAGGTGGGAGGGATAGAGCCAGCAGTGGGGAAGCTGACTCCTTTAGTAGATGTATGAATAAAAGCTGGCCTGGCCAGTTGGCAACTGATGGCTGTGTAAAGCTCGGGCACAGCTGAAGATGAGAAGTTTGGATGGAATGGCCCTGTTTTTTGGTTCCCAGAGGGATGGGGATCAGCACAGGAAGTAGAGAAAAGGCAATAATGACGATACTAATCACCAGCATCATCCCAACAGTGAGAGCTGACATTTACTGAGGGCTTACTGTGCATCAGGGCCTGCATTACAGGGATCAACTCATTCAGTCCTCACAGGAACACTGAATTTGTTACTATTGTTAGTCCCTTTTTACTGATGAGGAAACTGATGCTCAAAGGGTTTAAGTAACTTGCCTCAAGGCACAAAGTTAGTGAATAATGGGAACCAGAATTCAAACACTGGTCTGTTGGCCTCTAGATTCTAAACTTTTAAAAAACTTTTTATTATGGAAAAAATTCCAAAGTAGAGAGAACAGTATAATGAATCCCCAAGTACCCATCACCCAGCTTCTATAATTATTAAGATTTTGCCAATCTGCTCTCATCAATCTCCCCATTTTTTTTCTTTTGTGCAAGTCCCAGACATCATAAAATCTTAACCACTCCACCTGATCCCCACTGTGACTGATGCCTCGACCAACCTCTGGCCAGTAAAGAGAAGACCTCCCCATCCCCCCGTACACCCTGCCCTGGCCCCCAGATACCTGGTAGGAGGTGACAGGCTTGTGGAAGCTCTTGAGTGCATTGATGGCCTTGGCATAGCCCAGGGCCCTCCACTTGTCTCCCTGAACACTGTAGGCTTTGGCCAGCACTTCCAGTTTCTCTGTGATGTGGAGGTTGTGGTTGGTCACCTTCTGGCTCGAAGGCTGTGCACAGACCCACTTATCCAGGCCCTCAGGAGCTGGGCAAGGCTCATCCTCTTCCTCAAGGAGGGTAGGGTAGCGGCCACTGATCAAAGCTTCCAGCTCAGCTGCACTAACCTGGGTCTCTTCCCCATCACTGGTTTCATCATCAGAGACAGGCTTGAGGTAGGGAAGGAGAAGAGAGAATAAATTCCTGCCCCCATGAGGAGGGCTCCTTGTAGGTGGGGACGAATTTCCTAGTAAGATCCAAGAATGAGGCTGGGTCTTCTGCATCAGACTTGGGTCTTCTTAAGTGTGGGGCTGTCTTCCATGTGGCTTCCCCCAGAGCCCAGCCCTAGCATCCCCAGTGGTATGTGAAGGATATGGCCTGGGCAAATGCAGGAGTGATGAGTGCTGGGAAGAACTAAGTGGTTCATAATAAAGAGAACCCTCCTCTCGCAGGGGCCTGGGACTTTCTGAACAACTCTACCAGGCCCTCCCTGTTTCTGTGATCTAATTCCTAGGAGAAGGGAGCTGTCGGGGCTGGGAGGCTCCTGACCTGGGCTTGGATGCTTGGAGCCTCTTCTGCCCTCCGGGGAGGAGACACAAGTCTGGTAGGAGAAGGGGAAGGAGAGAGGGCTGTACGGAGCAGAGCCTCACAGGCTCTAGGAGGAGTAGAAGAGTCTTGGTCTGCCTTGCTGAGCTGTGTTTGGTCCAGGTACCTACAGGGATGGTGATGGGAGGTTAAGACACCAAAGATCTCACCCTATCTCTGCCCCCAATCCTTCTCTTTTCTTCTTTTTTTTTTTTTTTTGAGGAAGATTGGCCCTGAGCTAACGTGTTGCCAATCTTCCTCTTTTTCTTTTTTCTCCCCAAAGCCCCAGTACATAGTTGTATATCCTAGTTGTAGGTCCTTCTAGTTCTTCCACATGGGATGCTGCCTCAGCATGGCTTGAAGAGCAGTGAGTAGGTCCGCACCCAGGATCCGAACCAGCGAACCCCAGGCCCCGGAAGTGGAACGCGCGAACTTAACCACTACGCCACCGGGCCGGCCCCTCCCAATCCTTCTCTACTATGAAATCTTGGTTTTCCACTGTGTCCACTTAAGACAATGAGAGTTATTTTTAATAAGCCAAGAAGAGTGCTCAAGATGCTGCCAGAAAACACTTGAAGAAAGACTGGGACCAGCCCACCTGTGGGGGATGAAGATGCTGAATCCTGCCGTGTCCACCAGCCTTCCCTCCTGCAGGCACAAGCTTAGCCAGGCTGACTTCACCAGCTGAGCACCGGCGGGCAGCCGGGGCAGTCTAAGGAGACGGAGGGCTCGCTCACAGTCCATGGCTTCATCCACCACAATGTGAGTGACCCCTGGGGCCTGGGCAGGGCATATCTGGCCACCATGCTGGATAATCTGCTTCTCAAAGAGTTCTGCCCGGGCTCGCCCAATGCCAGTGGGCACTACATGGGCCCGCAGGGAGCTCAGCCACTCTGTGGAGGGGACATCCAGATGTCTGTTGTCATAACTTTCACATATATCCTAAAGGACCCTTTGCAGTCCCCTGCCCCTAGACAATCATTTTCCTTCCATCCAGACAGCCTGCCTTCTGAAGGTTCCACCACAAGCATATAGCTAATTTACTCATGGGCCATCATTTGAATGTAAGGGGCAAGGATTTTGATATGTCCTGTTCCCTCGTGTAACCTTAGGACAGTGTCTGGCACATCGTAGGTATCCTATAAATCACTTCATCTGATCATTTATTCTTTCAACAAATATTAATAGATACCTACTACTGTGTACCAGGCACAAGGCACACGTTTTGCCATTACAGGCCTCACAGTCTCATAGATTCCCCCTTCCCACCCCCATGTAGGTCTTTCCCATCTATTTGTCAATTTGGTTACAAAATAACTTATAACTCTGGGGACCTGAGTGGGATTTCTTCCCCCCACCTCCTTGAGAGCAAAGGATTCTGCTGGTCATTTCCTTAGTGACCAGGGAGTATTTTCTGATTGATAGAGGTCTCGGGTGGGGTAGAAGATACCCAGCCAGCGGCCGGTCAAAGACTTGGGACCAAGCCTAGCACCAGGCAAGTACAAATAAACCTGCAGGCCCTGGGTGGGCAGAGTCAGCTCTAACATCTGATTCTGAACATGAACAATGTAGGAAGCCTGAGGGTTCAAGCACATGAGGGTTCTGAGGGTGGGTCTGCTCACCTCCTGCTGCTTCTCCATGTTCCCTCTTGGGAATCTTTGCAAATGCTTTTGATGATGAATTGGCAGGAATTTTCTTCCGCTTGGGAAATGCCTTCAGGATGCCCCTGGGGTCCACTGAGGTATGGCTGGATCCTGACCTTTCTGTTTGAGAGCTGATCATAGCAGCTGTCCTGTGGAAACCCAGAATTGCGGTTCCCCAACCCCTCTGCCTACAGAGGTGGGGTCTCTATTGATTAGGCCTTGGGGGCAGTAGCCCAGTTCCCAGGGGTCTCCCAAAACCAAATTGAACGCCAGTGGTTTAGCCTACCTCTACACTCACCAGCCTTTCCAAGTCAGAGTATTGGGGTATATGGGGGGAAGAGTGAGGCTATTTGGGGAACTTTTGAGAGTAAGGAAACGATATCATTCCTCAGAGAGGTCGCTCTCAAGGTTCAGCGCAGTGTCTGCCCCTGCTGCATCCCACTTCCAAAGGGATTTACCGAAAGGGGACGCCAGGCTAGGAAACGGAGCTACAGCTTTAGTAAGCCCTTGAGCTCCCAAGAGCAGTGGAGGCTGCGGGGCACATAAACTCCACATAATCTTTCTCTAACCCCATCAGAGACCCACAGAGGAAAACCTGGGGGTGGTTAGGGGGGCAGTGGGAACGCCCTGCACCTGCCCTAGTCGCGGGTTCTTGGCATGCGGGTGCTCAGCCCCCCAGCTGCGTGGAGATGGGGCACGGCCGCAGCTGGTGTGGGGCGCCTTCCGGGACTGGGGAAGTTTCCGCCTCACAGCTGGGGGTAGAGAAGACTCCGGCAGGTGTGGGGCATCCGCCGCGTACGCAGCTGGCGCGCATCAGGGACTCACAGCTGGGCACCACAGAGGGACTGGGGTGTCGAGACCCCAACCTGAGGGGGCCCTGCCCCCTCCCCACTCCCGGGATTCGGTCCCGGGTGGGCTCCACTTCAGTCCCCGCGGATCACCCGGGGGTGGCCAGGAATAAACCACTTACCAAGCGGCCACTAAGAGCAGACGAAGGCGTGGGCGGTGGGGCGGGGGTGGGGTGGGACGGGCAAATGCCCAGAAACCTTCCGGGTCAGCCGGAAGTGACCCTAGGCGGAAAGGTTGCCATGGCAGCGTCCGGGCGCGAGACTGGGCGGAGGGAAAATGGCGGTGACAGGCTGGTTGGAGAGTCTGCGGGCGGCTGAGAAGACGGCGCTACTGCAGGACGGTAACTCGAGGCCCCCCGCGAGTCCCCTCGTCCGTTCCCCCAGAGTCCTGCCTTCCGCGGTGGTGCCTCCAAGAAAGGGCCTCAGCCTGGGACGGCAGAGCTGGAAGGGTCGCGGCCGCCAGCCAGGCCAGGTCCTGCATTTGCAGATGAGGAAACTGAGGCCCAGAGAGATGATGTGACTGGAACACGCGTCTCTGGACACCCCCTGGTTTCCTCTACACCGCCCCACTCCGCTCTGAGTTCTGTTACTTAATAAATAAGAATTCCCTTCGTATTCAATATGTTATTTGCTCCTCATCGCTGTCCCGAGAGGCTGTTAATATCCACCCCATTTTATAGAAGAGGAAACGGAAATTCAAGAATATTTTAGACCAGCCTCAGCTGCTCCAACCAGTCAGTGGTACAACTGGATTTGTACCTGGGATCCCATGAACCTCCATCTAGGGGTTCTATTGCTGAAGGCAGCCTGGTGTCATGGAGGGGCGGGAAACCTGGGCTTTAGAACTGTGACAGAATTGTGACTCTGTCATTAATTCACCGTGGGCTCCCAGTCTGGCCCTTGACTTGTTTGGACTTCACTTTCCTCATCTGTAAAATGAGATGGATGGGCTACCTCTGTTATCTCTGAGGTCCTTTCCAGCTGTAGTGTTATGTTTGTAAGTGAACCTGTAAATGTTGCCTGGGTCTTTAGGGGAGACAGAGCAAGGGCCCAGGGCTGTGCCTGGAAGAGGTGGGCATGGGAGTATAGCGTCTTGACTTTCTCTCACCCTAGGATTGGACTGTATGAGGCTCCCTGTGCGTCAGGGTCGCTTCCTGGACCCACTTGGCAGCCAGAATGAATTAGGTCTGAATTCCTTTAGCTTTCAGGATACCAGCTAGGGATTCACATCCATACGCAGAGGCCAATCAGGGAAGCGTGGAAATTGAAATCAGCTGCTCATTCACTTATTCATTTATGCAGTATTTAGGGAGGCTTTTACTACGTGCCAAGCTGTGTACTAGAGTAGACAGAAAAAGACATGTTGGGGCCGGCCCCATGGCTTAGCAGTTAAGTGTGCACGCTCTGCTACTGGCGGCCCGGGTTCAGATCCTGGGCGCGCACCGACACACTGCTTCTCCAGCCATGCTGAGGCCGCGTCCCACATATAGCAACTAGAAGGATGTGCAACTATGACATACAACTATCTACTGGGGCTTTGGGGGGGAAAAAAAAAAAAAGGAGGAGGATCGGCAGTAGATGTTAGCTCAGGGCCAGTCTTCCTCAGCAAAAAGAGGAGGATTAGCATGGATGTTAGCTCAGGGCTGATCTTCCTCACAAAAAAAAAAAAGACATGTTGTCCCAAGAGTTCACAGAGTGGTCAGGAAAAAGACATGTAAATAAATAATAGTATGTGTTAAATAGAGACTGGAATCTTCTATAAAATGCTATGAGAGCAGGAAGGTGGAAGTCATCTCTTTGAAGGAAGACCTGAGGGAAGAGGTGATGTTTATGGATCCTAAAGAATTAATAGGTGTTTGCTAAGTAGAGAAGAGGGCATGGCTGTTCCAGGAAGAATGGCTCACGTGTAAAGGCATGGAGGTGTGAAAATATATGCTGATTACTAGGGGAGTAACAAAATATTTAGTGAGGCTGAAGCATTCACCCCGTCAGTCATAACAATCCCTCACACCATGTCAAGTGCCAGGTGCTAGGATGCAAGGATGAATAACAGGTCTCTTTTCTCAAGGAGTAATGAGGGGAAATGGTGGAAAATGAAGAGAGATTGCAGATAAATTGGGGCATTTTGTGATAGCTCTCCTATGCCAAGCTAGATTTTGGATATTGTCTCAGGACAGTGGTTTTTGTTTTTATTGTAAAAAATACATAACGTAGCACTAACCCCTTTAGCCATTTTTAAGTGTACATCTGTGGCATTAAGTACATTCACATTGTTGTGCAACCATCACCACCATCCATTTCCAGAACTTTTCATCTACTTCAATATTAGTAAACACTAACTCCCCACTCCCCCTATCCCCAGCCCCTGGTAACCACCATTCTACTTTGTCTTTATGAATTTGATTACTGTAGGAGCCTCATATAAGTGGAGTCATACAATGTTTGTTCTTTTGTGACTGGCTTATTTCACTTAGGATAATCTCCTCCAGGCTCATCCATGTTGTCAAGTGTCAAAATTTCCTTCCTTTTTTAAGGCTGAATAATATTCCATTGTATGTATATACCACATTTTGTTTATCCATTCATCTGTTGATGGACTCTTGGGTTGCTTTCACTTTTTTGGCTGTTGTGACTAATACTGCTATGGACGTGGGTGTACAAATATCTGTTCTAGTCTCTGCTTTCACTTCCGTTGGTCACAGGACAATGTTCAAACAAATATTTCATCAGCCAGGATTTTGTTAAATTTTTTTTGTTAATAGCATCACAAAACAATGTTGAGAACCTGATACGCTTTAAATTTTTTTCAGAAAAATTTGTATTCATTGTGGAAATATTAAAAATAAACAAGTCACCCATAATCCTGCTTTCCAGAGGTAATCATAATTTACATTTTCATACATAAACTTCTATATTTTTTTCCATGCATATGCACTCACACATATATATTTTTTCTTTTACCAAAATATCATACTAATATACTTAAAATTTTTTATATCTGCATACATATATACATATAGAATAAATATGTATAGAATAAAATATAAATAAATATTATATAATCTTTGGGTAAAGGAGGATATTGTAAGCATAACTTCTGGGTGGTAACCACAAAAGAAAAAATAGTTGACTAGATAAAAATTAAACACTTGTTTGGGAAAACCCACTTTAAACAAAGTTATAAGGCAATTGAAACTGAGAGTATTTGCAACATATATGACACATGGTTAATATATACAAAGCTCAATCAGATTAGTAAGAAAAAGATGAACACCCAAATAAAATAAGCTAAGGCCTAAATGGATAATTCACTAGAAACATGACCAATAAACCCTTGGAACAATATTCAACCTTACAAATATTTAAAGCCATACAAATTATCCTAGTATGGTTATTAGAGCATGGACTTTGGCCTCAAGTGAGTTTAAGCCTGGGTCTGTCATTTCCTAGCTTTATGACTTTGGACAAGTTGCATGACCTTTAAGCCTCAATTTTTCTCATTTGTGAAATACAGGTAATGCGGGCACATAGGATTATTGTGAGAATTAAATGCCATAAAACATGTAAAGTGCCTGGCCAGTAGTAAGCACTGCATCCTTCCTAGACTCAAGACTGGACTGCAGGGGGAGAAGAGGGTCAGGCCATACACCCTCAGCTACTTGCAGGCAGCACCTTGTACCCCACTCCTGACAAGAAAACCCCTTCCAGCTCTATGAGCCATCCAAATGATTAAGGGTGGTGTGACCTAGGGGTGTACCGAGGGGCCCTGCAAATTTGGAGAAGTTTCCCTAGAATGCAAATTAGGAACTACTCAAGGGAACTGTGTCCCAGGGAAGTGAATTGGACAGGAAAAAGGCTTGGTAGATCAGATACAGTTGCAGGTTTTAGCTAGTGGCACCTTCAGCTGGTTAGGGGCCTTGGGGCTCTTATTCATCAAGCATACTTTGGGAAACCGTCTACTGGGCATTAGTCCTCTGTTATTAGTCTCACTCAGGAACTACCTATATCTACTTACCTATCTGTAAAAATAGGGGAAATTACATAGCCACTTTTAAGAAAATGCTTATGATTATACTAGATAGGTGAAAGAGTTGGGCTAGGAGACTCCCTTGGGTTATTCCATTTTTTTCAATGAAAGATGAATCAGTGTTCATCTATTCTTTCAATCAATATTTAGTTGAGCGCATAATATATGCCAGGTACTATGCTTGGTGTTAGGGAAACCATAGGCAGGGGGGATAAAACCTCTCCTGTCTAGTAGAAGAGACAGGCAATAATCAAAGAATCACACAAATAGATGTAAAATCATAACCAAGGTAAATGCCATGAGGAAGACACATGGGGACTAACATCGTTTGGCTGTGTGATAGGAATGGCCTAGAGATGTGCAAAAGAAGGCAGAGCAATGGCATGGCTAAAGGGAGTGCTTGGTCAATATCCTTTTCAATATTCTGAGCACATAGGCTTGGTTTTAGGAACTGGGGAGAAAGATGCTTTTAAGAGTATTACACTATGTGGTAAATGCTCCATTATGAATATGAATAAAGCACTAGGGAGGCACAAACAGGGAAGAGATGAGTTTTGCCAATGTGGCTGGGAGTGATAGTTTAGGAAGATTTCCCAGTGGAAGTGACATTTGAGCTTGATTTTGAAGAGTGGGGATTTCTTCAAAAGATGGGAAGAAGTATGGAGCTATTGCTGGTAGAGGAAGCAGCAGAGCAAAGACATGTTCAGAGAAAGCTTCAGAAAGGAAGTGAGTCCCGGGACACATCTTAAAGTAATGGTGGGTGATGGTTGGCAAGGAGTTCATGGGAGGCTCTGGGAGGGTGTCTCAATACCCCCAAGGCTGTCGGTGTTTCCCAGGTAGACCCCTTGATCTGCAAGGGGCAAGGCAAGAGGAGGCTTGGGGGTAAGGCACTCTCTCTTTGTGCGTAGGGAGAAGGAAGGTGCACTATTTGTTCCCAGATGGGAAGGAAATGGCTGAAGAATATGATGAGAAGACGAGTGAACTACTTGGTAAGTGACAGGGGCTCTCAGTGGAGCCTTAGGAACACTTGGGATGACCTAAGCACAGGTGAACACTCCCAGCCTGAGGCTCGAGGGAGGAGCCCTGCACCAAATGGGGAGACGGAGGCCCTCAAGGCGAGATTGTTCCTGAGAATAATCTGGGGTCAGGGCTGGACACCAGAGATGGAGTGGGAATCTTTTGACCAGTAAACCCCACGCCACCTCCAGACAAATGAGAGAGTGAGTAATTCTTCTAAGGTGGGAATGGGGATGTAGAGAAACCAGATGGGAATGGGGATGTAGAGAAACCACTGGGAAAACACTTTACAGAGAAAGTGGAATTGGAAGTGAGCCTTGTAGGCTGACTGGAGGTAAGAGCAGGCTTTCACTGCAAATTTTCCTTGTTTTTGTTTTGTTTTCTGAAGTCACACCAGGAGCAAGCATCAGAGGCAGCAGCTTCTGACCTGTTCTCAGAGGTGGCACTATTAAATATGACCTTTATCTTGGAGAATGTTTGAATCAAAGAGGGTAGGGGGTAGAAATGGTGATTTTGTAGCATTTGTCATTTTCATTCCTGCAGCTCTTTTCCTCTAAGAATAGGCTCATGAATAGGGGCTCAGATTCCTGAGAATTATTTGATTTGTCCATTCTCTGTTCCCAGGTATGCACATCAGCACTAACTGACTTCCTTGAGCTAGGTGGCTGGTTCTTTGACCCAGGGCCTGAGGCTGTCAGCGGTGGGAGTTCGTCTCTTTATTAAGTTCCACCTGAAATGCTAAGACCAATGATGAATGATGGGCTGGGTTATTTTCTTGTCATTATTCTTGACTTTAATTTCTTCCTGGGCCTGATCGACAGGTAGTATTGGTGAGGGAATTTCTTTTTCCTTTTTTCTGACAGCTCATAAATGTCTGGAGCCGACAACACGGATTACACTGGTTTGTATTCTCTTAGTCTCCAGTCTTAAAATGTGTGTCCTGCGCATGTTCAGTTGCAGAGTGAAGTGTTGATCCCTCCTTATTATGAGCTGCTTGGGCTCCAGTCCCAATTGGTTTAGTCTGGTGCTATTAAAAATCTTGATGTGTTTAGCATATGACACTGATTTGGTGTAAACCAATACAGTAGTAATATCCTCACAATTCATTGTAATTTATAGCGCTACCAGGGGGTGACAGTCTTGGAATGCCTAACAGGGGCCAGCTTATGAAAGCAGAGGTCACGCGGGCTAACTACTACCATCACTAGGCCAGAGACTAGCCGCCGCAGCTCCTCTCCCCTGGCCCCCAGTGTCACCTCTCTTCTCCACACAGGGCAAATAAAACAGCTATAGCTGCTGTGGCTGTAAAAAAAAAAAAACAAATAAAACCCAAGACTCAGTTGTGCTTGGACATGAAATTAAAATGAAAAACAAGTCCAGGTTCCTTCATTGGTAGCATCCTACATTAACCTGTCACTTCTCTTGGCAGATGGGGAATAGACAGTGGCCTCCAAACTCCTTTTTCTTAAAAGCAGAAATGGAGGTTCATAGGAGAACATTGTTTGGCTAAAGTTTACCTAATACAGTCATGTTTCGCTTAACAACTGGATACGTTCTGAGAAATGCGTCACTGGGCGATTTTGTCATTGTTCGAACATCCTAGAGGGTACTTACACAAACCTAGGTGGCATAGCCTACTACACACCTAGGCTATATGGTACTAATCTTATGGGACCACCGTTGTACCTGCGGTCCGTTGACCGAAATGTTGATATGCAGTGCACAACGGTGTTAATATTATTACTGTAACTTTTATTGGGCACTATGCCAAGTGCTTTATGTGAATTATCTTATTGAACCATCCTCATTACAGCCTGATGAGGCGGGTACTGTTGTTCCCATTTTATAGTAGAAAAAAACTTTAGATCCAAGAGGTTAAGCACTTTGCTCAGAATCATGTAGCTGGTTAGTTTCTAAGGTAGGATTTAAGCCTAGGTCTGTCTGATTCAGAGCCCATGCTTTAGTCCACAACAACATACTGTTGGGAGTTGAGAATATTTAATCCTGCTTTCTTTTCTTCTTACTAAATTTTGCTCTCCCCAGAATGACCTGAGTAGGGAGGGGCTGGTGGGAGCAGGACAGAGAGGAACACCCCACTTGAACCACGGAGCCCTTTGAATAGCTGATCCTTTTCTTACCCATCTCCAACCACCCCACCCGACCCCCGCCAGCTGCCCTTGCAAAATACTGTTCATTATTTTTTAAGTATAAATAATCCCAAGGCCTGAGCTGACTTTTGCTGGTACATTCTATGAAGTAAAATATGCAGGGTTTTTGTGGCTGTAAATGGGAATAGTTTCCATTTTTCCAGCTAATTATACAAATTTGATAATTGGCCAACCTGGTTTTCTGTTAGAAAAACCCAGAAAGTAATTTACAGAGGAAGAAAAACCCAGAAAGTAATTTACAGAGGAAGAATTGCCAATAGTACATCTGTCTAGGACAGAGTTCTTTCAGTAGGTGTTAATAAGCATAGTAGTGTCATATTTTTTTTCTCCCCCTCAATGCTATTCATTCCCACCCCCCACAATGAATGCTGTATGTATTCATAGAGGAAAAAACTGAAGGGCCCCATAACAATGATCGGAACATCAAACCAGCCCCAGAAGAACACAGCATGTCCAGCGGGGCAGAGGCTGAAGGGCAGGCCATCCCCCAGCGATTACATTCGGATTACCGGCTTAATCTGCTTTGGTATTTGACCGCCAGCCTATCCACCCCAGGCTGCATTTGGAGGATATTGAGCACTTTCATCCCCAAGCACTTCACCGGCTTTATAAATGACCCACTCGATTCCCTTCAGCCTCCTCAGGGATGGGACATGGCAGCTGTTTAATAGCCACATAGCAATGTTGCAGTGTTTTAGGGCAGAAAAGAAGAATCCTGCATCCAGTTTAAGCTGCAGGGAGTATTTAGGAAAGGGGAATGTAATTATCCACGTTGGAATTGGGCCAGGGCTTGGAGCTTTGGGGAAAGAGGCCTTTAGGACCCCCACTTTCCAGCCCACCTGAAAGACGAGGCCTCTTTTCAGCAGTCTGCGACATCAGCCTGCTTCCTGCTGACTTAGGAAAAAGCCCCCAGGCACTGCCTCCTTCATATATTCCTCATCAGACCCTTTACAGGGTCATTGAAAGTCTCCTTTCCAAGGACTGGCCCTGGCTCAGCTGGGAAGATATGACAGCATCCCAGGGAGCTGCCTTGCACACACCAGTTTGGGTTTAACATATAATCAAATCAGAGTGACAGCAGGTGGAAACAGTCTTCTGTTGCCGCAGGAGCTGTCCTTGAGTTCAGGAACAAAGACAAGACAAAAAAGATAAAGTGTGTATTTGCATGTGTGCATTCATGCCCAGGTACATGGGGAAAATAACAAGGACTTCACCAAAATCATTTATTGGATCTTATCTCATAAGGGAATGAGTAGGGAAACTTTCTTTTGCATTCTGACAGAGAATTTTATCCCAAGGTGTTAAAAACAAAAAAACAAAAACGGTGAAATAGCCAGGGGTGCCAAGTTCCTGTGACCTGAGTGGCTTTTAAGGTCAGCAGTAAGGAAACCAGTAGCTGACTTTCCTCCTCCTTAGCATGCTCTTTGGGAAGGTTTCTGTGCAAAACCCAACATCCCTTGGAGTAAAAGAGTGGACAGAAAATCATGGAGTTGGACTTGCCTCTCCTGGCCACACTAGTATCGTGCTTTAGGACACACGATGTAACAAGGCCCATGATTACAGGAGCACCTCACTTATCCAGCCCAGATAGTTAGGTATTCCTCATAAATTACATTTTCAGATAATCAAAGCTTTGCCTCTAAAGGCTAAAATATAGCAAAGAAGTAGAGCTACTTGAAAAAAAAAAAAAGGAAAAGAAACCTCCCTAAATATCGTGTGTGCTTATTGAAGATTTATGGAATACAATTTAGCCTTTTATTAATGATTCAAATTCTGATCTTAAAGTTAGGAAAGCTGAATTTTAGTTGTGGCTTTTGCAAGTTAGTTTCTCTCTCTGAGCCTTGGTAATTCTTCATACCCTGTCCCCTGGAGAGTGGTGGCAAGAGTTGAAAGAGAGTAGGCAGGGGGCCGGTCCCGTGGCTTAGCGGTTAAGTGCGTGCGCTCCACTACTGGCGGCCCTGGTTCGGATCCCGGGCGCGCACCAACGCACCGCTTCTCTGGCCGTGCTGAGGCCGCGTCCCACATACAGCAACTAGAAGGATGTGCAACTATGACATACAACTATCTACTGGG